CGTGCAAAAGAAAGGCTCCAAGAAGTCAGTCCGACGGATGAAGTTCTTGGAAAGCTACCTCGAAAAACTGCTGAAGTGCGACCAAAGCGTGACCAGGAGCATCGAGGTCACCCGCTTCTTCACCCCCAAAGACCACGACCTGCAGCCAGACTACACCAAGAACAGGTATGCTCCCAGCCCAGTGGGAAACTGTGAGGGGCAGATAAGAGCTTTGACCAGGTTTGGTAACATAAATTTTCTTCTATACAGTGTCATGATGCTGCTTTCTGATGATCAGAATGACGAGTCAGGTGGAGGAGGAGGCAGATCTGCCCACCACTTTCACCATGGAGGCAGCATCACTAACCCTTTTGTGACCCAGACATACCACTGCGTGGCTGCCTATGAGACAAAGGACACCAAGAACCGCCCATTCAAGGTGGCCAAGGACGAGAAGCTGGACGTCCTGATCAAAGACCCTGCAGGTCAGTGCTTTCAAATTTATGCATTTTTATTGAAGAGACTCTTATCTTTCTACTAAACAAGAGAGTCTCATGCTATTTTTTTAATTCATCTCCAGGCTGGTGGCTTGTGGAGAATGAAGATAAGCGCCTGGCTTGGTTTCCCGCTCCGTACCTGGAGCTGTCGGAAGGCGACGACGACGACGATGAAGATGAGCTTCAGCTGAGAGGTGTGTACTTGTGTTGCGCTGGAAAGTTTGACTTCAAAGAGTGCACTGGATACACATTTACAACATAAATGAGCATGCCTGTGAGCAGGTTCCACATATGTGCTGATGAAACTTTGCCTTGTTGTTACAAATAGCCAACACTAGGGAGCTGTCTTCAGCCATTTTCATCAGTGCATGTTTCCTTTTAATAAAAATCTAGATGCTGTTTTTGCATTTTAGGCGACTTATTTGACCACTTTTCAGCTCTGCTTTGTTGCTCAAGCTTTTTTTCTCTTGCCTGTGACTTTTAGGTGCTCTGTACTGTGCTGTGAGAAGTTACACGTCTAAGAAGGTTGATGAGATCTCCGTGCCCATTGGCTCTGTGGTTGAGGTGCTGAGGAAGTCTGACAATGGCTGGTGGCTCATTAGGTATGTCGGTGTTGTCTGTTTGCAAATGATAAACTTATCATCTTCTACTTAGAAAACTAGAAAGTCCAGATTTAATAGTATAGCAGTTTGTAGACAATTTAATTATTTTTAACAGGTTTGAATTACATCATGTTTTGTTCTCTACAGATTCAATGGCAGAGTAGGCTACATCCCAACCATGTACCTGAAGCCATACAACAACCCTAGGGCAGGCCTTTATGGGCTGCACAACAGGCTGCATAGCTCCTCTCTGAATCTGGCAACAGCCAGCAGGGATCGCCAGGCTCCCTACCCTCCCAGTATCCACGAAGAAGATGACCTACACCAGAATTCTGCTGGCCCCTCCAGACAAATGTTTGAGCCTGCACGTCTCCACAAGGCTCGATCTCTTGATGTCCTCTCCGATCCCTGGCCTCAGGGGGAGGAGGAGAGGGAAGCCCCAGCCTCAAACAGTCACCCGAGCATCATGAGCCAAATCAGCTCTGATTCCATTCTCTCTGAGTTCTCCTCAAGCAGCGACTCGTCCTCCAGTCTGAGGGAGGAGGCGCAGAGCCACGCAGACCACCCTGCAGCCTCGCAACAGCCCGACAGCTCGCGCAGCAGCCCCGATCCCAGCCTCTTAGACGGCGTCAGCTTCAACAGCGGCTCAGAGAGTTCTGGGTCTGTCAAGTCCAAAGGCAGCAGCAACGCCTCAGTCGTCCCCAGGGTACCTCCCCGACCCAAAACAGAGGAGATCCTGACCCGCTGCACCACCATGACGCGCAAGGCAGCCCTGGCCACCAAGGCTCGGCTCCAGATTCAGCCCGAGTCCATTCACAGCCGTTAAGGAAACCACGGCACCAGTGCTATACATTACAAATCCGACAATAAGTTGTATTCTTAATGATACTCACTTGTTTCTGCAAACCTTTTAGACTCATTATGTGTTTATAAGAAGCAAATGTAACTTGTTCAAAGCCACATTTAGATGAGATTAAGAGGCATTGCTTAACTTTTTGCTTGCTTCCTTCTTATGTGAAAGGCTAAAGGGAAAGCAGCTTGGACAAGGCAGCCGCAGACTAAAATTTCATAAAATAATGTCAAGACAATTCCCATTTTATCAAATGGAGCTTGGCGTCTTAATTTTGAACATTTCAGTGTAAGTATAAAACTAATGTAGCTTCAGTGAAGCATTATGAGGAGCAGTAAGTAAGTCTACGTATGTGACCTATAGTCACAATAAAAAGAAATAAGAAATAATAATAAAGTTTCTTTTCTAGCTTTGAAGAGTGTTTTGGGGAAGTTTCGGTGGCCTTGAAGCGGTTGCAAATGTACAGGGGCTTTATGGCTGTTTTAACATGTAGAAACCAATCAAATCAGCTGTGGGTTCAAAAATATTGTAAAAGATTGTGAATATGGTTAAATGATTATTTCCTCATTATTCACTGGAGTCCTTGTGCTTAACCGGTTTTGAAAAACTAATACATGTGAAGCAGCTGTTGCAAAAAAAAA